TCTCGGCTTTACATGCCAGGTTCATTATTGGAGGCACGGTTTATTGCAGCGAGGGCTTTTCTTTTCCAAGTCGTCGTGTCTCTCCCCCCTCCCCCCCGGAAGCAGACCCAGAAGGAAAGATGTGAGACATTAGATGTTTCCAGCTAAACCGAGTTGGGACGAACATTTTCAAATATAAATAACTCCCAACAAGATCATAGGTGCAGGTAAAGCTCTGATCATTTCCAGCACAAGGTGCTGATCACCGAATGTGTGTAAGTCAAATTCCTCATCACTGCCAGTGAGGACACAGTGTTCTCTGCGGCCCCGGGGGGCGGGGGGGGGCGAGTTTGGAGAAGTTAGGGATGGTTGAGCCCTGTTTCTGCTTCCATGCATGAGTCAAACTGGATACTTATTTCCTTCTTATAGGTCACTGTACAGCTTTGAGCTTTCAGAAAGTAAATCCTGTTGCCAAGTGTAGAAGCTTCCGTCAGGGGAAAGGACTGTACAGGGCCGTTCATATAACGCAGTGTTTTTTACAGGCACTTTTTAAACCAGCCAGTGAGATTGGGGAAAATCAAGGAAAGCCTCAGGCTGATTTAAGGTCACAGGGAAAGCCTGGTGGGACTGCGTGTGAGTGTGAGCGTGCCTCAGGCCCCACTCTTCTTTAGCCAGGTCAGTTGACCTTTCTTGATTTGCTAGTTGGTCACACTTCCTCATTATTAATTTGCAAGCAGGTGCCAATTTTCCTTGAGTGAGTCACTGGGTCCAGCTGGTATATTCTCACTGGTATTCCAGCCAAAGGGTACCCTCCTTATACCCCTTGCTATGTCCTCTTAAGTCATCACTGCCTTACCCATCTGCAGGCTAAGCCCCTAGGGTAAGGCGTATTCTGTGTGTGTGTTGGGGGGAGGTATATTTGCATAGTGTCTAATGTGTTGTAGACAACGTAGACTCAATCCACAACCGAACTCTGCCCATTGGGTTCAGCAGCCAGTTTTCTTTGGGTCCAAATGTAGCGTGCATGCTGTAGAGCACACTAACCACAGCTGAAGTTGTTTTGTTTTCTTTTTAAACTATACACCTGACCTGACAGAAGTGAGCAGATAGGAATCTTAAACACAGCGTAAAGGAAAATGGAAAATGCAAATCAAAACCTGGGAGCCCCTCCCTGAGGATGGGAGAGCTCGGTGATAGAGGGTGAGAGGGTTGGGGAGTGGAGGGTTTGCATGGGAGAGACATTTTCTGCCTGGCGAGGAGAGCAAGAACTCGGAAAGGAGGCAGCTCCTTTATTGATGCTCCGCTGGGATTTGTGCCTTGGTGGATTCTTCTTATATTACAGTGAATTTAATTAAATACATTGTGATCCCAATTGAGGGTATTCTAATTAGCTGGGTCAGGGACAAATTATTCTCCCTCTTTCTCCAAATGAAAACATCTACTCTCTTCTGCAGAGAGAGCATGTCCTTGGCTGACTGACTTGACCCTGTGGAGTCCTCATCAGCCCCTCCAGCCCCACCCCTTCTTGCTGCTTCTTATTAAACCGGTTCCAAGGGTGGGATTCTGGGAATGGAGCCAGTGCCCCTTGGGAGGGAGAGGGTGTCTGGTACACAGGGTCAGGACATTGACCCACTCATGTTCTGGGAAATGACCAGATGGTGTGGAGAAGGTGACAGAGGTCAGTCAGGAGCCTGCTGCTAGCTTTGGGCCTCTGTTTGCACCAGGTTGGGCAGCCTGAGACAGACCAAGCAGGAATTTAAGAATTTGGTGAGAACAGGATCTGTCACATGCAGGTAGACATCAGGAGGTTGTGAGCGGAAGGAAGTTTGAGTTGGGACAGTCACCTTTACAAGCAGGTGTTCCCTAGCAACCGGGGAAGAGTTTATTCTGGACTTTGTGTGTGTGTATTGAGAATGAATTTGAGTGCAAAAGTAAGCTTGGAATTTCGAACGAAGCTTTTGTGCAAGTCTCTAAGATGGGATGCTAAATGTTCCCTGGAGTGGGTACGTGGGAGAGGCGCTGCCTCTGTCTACCATGCTTCCTTTTCTCCTTTCGCCACCATTTGTCGTGTGTGCCCATTTCCCTTCCAAAACAGCTCTCAAGTGGCAGAAGAATTCCTGGTGGCACAAGAGACTGCCATTTACCACCATGAGTTCGAGTGTAGAGTGGTTTTGGAATATCTTCATCATATCAGTTATTTTTTTAAGTAAAGCCCCCAGTATGATGTTTATTTCAATTCAGGATTTACACAGCCCTGTCACCCAAGAAAGAGCCCATGGATTTGGGAACAAAAGACATGTGATATCGCACCTCCCGTCTGACCCTTTTTGGTCATGTTGTCCTCTCTTCTGGCTCTGAGATTGGAAACCCCAGCCATTCCGAAAAGAGCCCTCACATCCATATTAAATTTTTGTGTTTAAGATTCAGTGCCTATGGCAAGGAAATCCTGTTTTGTGGAAGATAATGGGAATTTGGGGCTAAGGCTTTAGTGATTCTTGCTCTGGTTTCATAGTTTATGATACCACCACAATCCCTCAATAGAATTTATGGCTTTGGATTCCGTGATTAGTCTCCCTGTTATCTTTTACCCAGTCAGTTTTTGTTGAAGCTTTAATAAATGTAGTTCTTTTGGTCTTAGTGACCTTAGACAGCAGTTCCTGGCTCCTGGACAAGTTCCCTGCGCCTCAATCCCAAGCCAAACCCTCATTCCCAGGAATATAGGAATATCCTGGTTCAATTTTTGGCTTTTGGGGGGCCCTGTAGACAGGTCGGGGGGAGTGAAAGCTCATCTTTTTTCCTTTATATCTAGTCCGTCAGATCCTCCTTCTAGGAGGAAGGGTTGTCGCCTCCAGAACACATTGCTTTGGTGCGTTCCATCTCCGTGAAATTCTCTGCAGGGAGCCTTATCTCCGAGCAGGCAAATCGAAGATAACCGTAAAAAGAAGAAGAAAAAAAGAAAAAACATCTCAAATATATTTTAACAAAAGTAGCTTTTAATTATCAGTTGTCATAATTTCTTAAACAGTTAACACTGAGCTTGCTAGTTCTTCAAACTCCTGGTTGTGACATGGCTCTAGGACAGCTGTTGATGGTGGAGATGTTTAGTTCCAAGAGTGCGCACTTGACTGTGTGAAATTGCCCATTTTGGGGGGAAGGCAATGATGGTTGGTTCTCTGTTGGTGCCTGTGGAGCCCTTCACATTCTTCTCTGTATGTTGGCCTCGAGCAAGAGTTACTGTGGGCTAGTTTAGCCAGTTTATGTGCCTGGCCCCCCTCACCTCCCCACTATGATTTTTCTGCAACACTTAGTCAGTGCATTCATAGTTCCTTTTGCAATAAGGCACAAACAGGCTTCCGGAATTGTCACACTTTTTCAGTGATCATTGGACATGTGCGTGTGAGCACATGGGCCTCAGAGCTGTGTCATTCTAGAGGAGGTGCTGGCAGGGCCACTCTGCTATCTCAGTATTGAGCATGCTGCAGGGCATTCGAGTTCGAGTTGCTCTTCCTTCTCTGTGCCTTTCATTATAACCTGGACAAGAAGCACATCCACGCAGGACCAGAAATAGCTATGGAGGCGTGGGCGTCGCACAGAATGAGTGTGGGTCAGAAAGGAGCAGCAGAAAGCAGTTGCGAGGCATTTGTCGTGTGCTCTGTGTAGCTCCTTGGACCAGGCTCCAGGGATGGGAGTGGTGCTGAGGGCGAGGAGAGGAGGGAGGGAAGGACAGTTGATACCATGAACACATAAAACACTTTCGTTAACTGACTCTCCTTCTCCAAAAGGATGCTGAGGGTCAGGTTCTAGTTCTCTCTTTTCCAGTAACTAGCTGGGTTACCTTGGGTCAGTCATTTAAGCATTTTGGAATTGTTTCCCCTGCTTTATGTGTGTGTCCAATAGAAAAATCCCTTCCTCCCCTAAAATGGGTCATTTGAATGGAAAGAGATGGCCTTTCTATACTAAGAGCCAGTCAGTTCACTAACTGTTAGTAAAAGGGGTCCATAGCTCTGTTCATGTTCTCCAAGAGGCATGAGGCATGAAAAGGTTGTAAATTTTGTCCTTGCATAATCATTAGGTCTTCTCCTAGGCACAGAAGTCTGGGGCCCGCTATTTCCATGACCTCTACTGTTCTTGCACCCCTAACTTTAATCCAGTGTGTGCCTGCCTCCTGCAGGATCTTGGGCTTCCAAGTTCTAGAATCAGAGTAGTGTGTCTGCACAAACACAACACAGAGTGTAATTTTGACCATCTGTGCACTAAGCCACATGACCTTGAGGTGTTGACAGGGAACTAGTTGGGATAAATTTATTTCTCTGTCATTTTTTTTTTTGATCCAAGGGGAAACCTAATTTTGGGTTCTCTTAATAGACTATAGATCTAAATACAGAAACTTGAGTCACCTTCCTTGGCTCTGTGCTACTGAGCTAGGATTCTATACAGGACTGGTGACCATATAGGCTATTACCCAAAGCAAAAACTGGCTACTTTTTTTCTGTAAAGGACCAGAGAGTTATATTTTAGGCTTTGCAGGTCATACAGCCTCTGTTAACAACTATTCAATGGTGGTGTTTTGAAAGCAGCCATAGACAATTCGCCAAGTCATGTACATGGCTGTGTTCCATTAAAACTTTATTTATACAAATAGTCAGCAGGTTGGGTTTGGCCTGCGGGCTGTAGTTTGCTGACCCCTGATCTCAATAAGGCAGGACGCTTTGGAGAGTGAAAGGGGAACCTTTAATTATTGTGCCAGGAAAACCGGTATTACTGGGAAGGTCCGATCCATCAGCATTTTCAGTACTGTGAAAAGCCACAGGGGAGGGTACCCCTGGGGGGGATGGGAATGAGAGCCAGCTTGCTGCTTGTCCTCAGAGAGCTGCTGGAGAAGGGGCCCTGAGACACAAAGAGCACGCCCTCTGAGGAAGCTCATCATCTGTTTGCACACGGGACGGGACAGGGCGGGCCGGCGGCTGCGGTGGGCTTCGCGTGGCTCACCCAGGGCGTGTCCCTCTTCTTTGCCCTCGCAGCACCTGCAGCAGCATGAGAGCGGCGTGGAAGGCGAGAGCTGCTACTACCACTGTGTCCTGTGCAACTACTCTACCAAGGCCAAGTTGAACCTCATTCAGCACGTGCGCTCCATGAAGCACCAGCGCAGCGAGAGCCTGCGCAAGCTGCAGCGGCTGCAGAAGGGCCTCCCGGAGGAGGATGAGGACCTGGGGCAAATCTTCACCATCCGCAGGTGCCCCTCCACTGACCCAGGTGAGCTGTCTCCAGGGCCTGGGAGGCCCGGGGTGGGCTGGGTGTTGGCTTCCGTGAGGTGTCCTGACGGCTTCGGTTTGGTGCCGCTGGCCCTCATGTCCATTACCTACCTGACAGGTGGCCATTGCATTCTGGAAGGAATGTGCATAGTTTGTCGCTTTTTCTTTTCTCTTTTTTTTTTTTTTAAAGATTTTATTGGGGAATTGGGGGAGGGGAACAGCACTGGGGAATCGGGGAAGGAGAACAGATAAGTTGCTGTCCTTTTGTTCTTCAGTCTAGTTGGGGAGGACGTTGCTTCACTGGCCCATGTTGGTATTATCATTGTGCTCTTCCTGGGTGAGGCAGATGGGTCGCCGGTTGCTGGACGGCCACTCACGGCGGCTCTTGGCAGCTCACACTGGCTGCCGTCTGCTCGCTGGCTGCTGGCCATACACGGTTAGCTCATGGCAACCCACTGCCACAGGGGCTGCAGCCTACGCCGTCGCTGGCGACTCATGGCAGCCCAGGTCCAGGTCGAGCTGTTGTTCATCATCTTAACTGTAGTGGGTGCAGTGTCACTGGCCCTTATGTGGGATCCGAACTGGGGCCCTGCTGCTCAGAGCTGGTGTCCCAAGCCAGCTCTTAACCAATGTGCCAGTCAGCCGGCTCAGCTTTTTCTTTTTTTTAAAGGAACTTTTCTTCAGGTGTCACAAGCCACTGCCCAATGAGCAGGCCAACAGGAGATGTTGTGTCTCCATCCCCAAATTCCTCTATTATATATTCTGGATTCAGTGTGTTGGCTCAGAGTGACATAAAGCAAGTGCTAAATTATGTCTTGCTTAGTATTAAGAACAGGCAGTTGGTGGCCTCAAGTCTGGTCTGTGAGAAATAACATGAGAGGATCAAAACAAGTGCTTATTATAAACATTCTGATTGTATTGGAAAGCGGCTCCCATCCTGTGGCTCAATGCTGCCTGTTACTTCCCACTGTCAGGAACGTCCAGAGGGAACGTGCCCGTTGCTGCCTCCCGTCCTGTTATCCCATCCACAGTCACCTTGCTCTGTACCTCACCGCTCCTCTTTATGACTCTCATTCCCACTGGGACCCCACTTGGTAGAATCACCCCTCTCCAATTTTTTCAGCCTTGCAGTCCCTTTCTCTTAACTTGGAAGCACAGGACAGTTGTTTGCCTCTTTAAAATCAATCAAACAAAAGCTCTCCCTTAATCCTGTGCCCCGCTCTTTCTCTACAATACAATCTTCAAAATTCTTGAAAGAGCAGCCCGTATTGGTCATTGCCAGTGCAGGCGTCAGGCTGCCCTATAGCCTGTTTCCACCGGTCGTCTGACTACCCCTGAGAAGTCACCATTGCCCTTGGAGTTACCCAACCTGCTAGCCACCTGCTGGGCCTTGCTCTTTTCTTTCTGTGGCCTTTGAAATTGTTGTACGGTCCCTTCTTGAATGAAGCCCCCTTCCCTGAGCGTCCAGGCTGCGTTCCTCTCTCGTCCTCCTGCTTCTCTTGACTGTCCTCAGGCTGCTCCACATGCCACCACCACCGGGCACGAGGCCCTGGCGCTCGGCTCCCAGCCTCCCGAAGCTCTGCTGTCCTGGCATTGTCAGGTGTCCTTTAAACAGCTTCCTGGATTTCTCATTGGTGCCACCTCAGAGACGCTGAGCTCACGGTTTCTGCTCCAGATGCCTTTCTCCTGATTGCATGTTGTCCAGTGACCTGGCCAAGCTAGAGACCCGGGGCCGTTCTCCACCCCCCATCACCCTCAGCACCCTCTCAGCCACTGAGCCGACCCGGCTGTGTGGGGTTTTAATTTTTAACCTTAATGTTATCAAATTTCACATTTTTATAGCATTTGTTTGTTTGTTTGTTTGTTTGTTTATTTATTAAAGATTTTATTGGGGAATTGGGGGAGGGGAACAGCGCTGGGGAATCGGGAGAAGGGAAACAGACAAGTTGCTGTCCTTTTGTTCTTCAGTCTAGTTGTGGAGGACGTCACTTCACTGGCCCATGTTGGTATTATCATTGCGCTCTTCCTGGCTGAGGCAGATCGGTCGCCGACTTCTGGACGACCGCTCACGCTGGCTGCCAGCTACACACGGTAGCTCATGGCAATCCACTGCCACAGGGGCTGCAGCCTACTTCGTCGCTGGCGACTCACAGCAGCCCAGCTCCAGGTTGAGCTGTTGTTCAGCATCTTAGCTGTAGAGGGCGCAGTGTCACTGACCCTCATATGTGGGACCTGAACCGGGGCCCTGCTGCTCAGAGCTGGCGTCTCAAGCCAGCTCTTAACCAACACGCCACCCGGCTGGCCCTTTTATAGCTTTTGAAGGCAAACATGACATAAACCTTATTGTGAAAAATGGCATGACGCCCCCATCCCATTTCCCAGAGCGATGCCTGTCAAGTTTTAGTTGTTTTTCATTCCTTATTTCCATATTTCTTAACAGGCTTCTACTACTATCTTTTGATTCTTAAAAAAAAAGGTTTGAGACGTTATCTGTTGGTTTTCTACTCTGGAGATGAGGATTTCACTAGTGTGCCATTCTACACATCCACACCCTTGTACCCACTGACACACACTCCATCCATAAGCCCTCCATACTCCGCCCACACTCCCCATCTCCCCCCACCCTCCCACCCCAGTCTTCTCCTCCCTCTGTCTCTCATTATGATTAAATAATAATTTGGGGTTTTATTAATATTCAGTGTTTTCATTGTTCTAACTCTATAAATATTAATCACAGCTGAGCCACGTAGAGTTTTATAAATTTCACTTACCTTCCTGTACACCTTTTTGTTTTCCCTGGTTTTCTAGGTATCTCTGATTAATTCATGGCTAGCCCTCCTCCAGAATAGAGAGTACCAAATCTCCGAGGGTTCTGCTGTATCAGTTGTTCTGTGACTTCATTTCTTCCTGGAGGCCTCCATCCTGAGCCCCTGCAGACCTCTCTGCCCACCCTCCCCTGTCCCCATCACCCGGCTCTGACTTTGCTCCCTTCTCCGCAGAGGTGAAACTGGATTCCGTATGACAAGATATACCCAGATTTGAGCATAGTTCCTCCCCCTGGAGGAGCTGAGGTTTCCTATCAGTAGGAAGGCCAGTCCTCCTGAGTCAGTGTGAATCATTTCTTTGGGTACCAGGATCATTTTGTCACCTCCAGGTCACAGCAAGGGGACAAACACTGTCCCCTCCCATGTGTTTTTTTTTAATTAAACTTTATTGGGGTGACAATGGTTAGTAAAGTCACATAGGTTTCAGTTCTGTAATACATCATGTATATATTGTGCTGTGTGTTCACCATCCAGAGTCAGTTCTTCCATCACCATATATTTGACCCCTTTCTCCCGTGTTTTTCAAATGCCTCTTCTGGTTAAAGTGCGTATGCCTTAATCCCTGGGGCTTCTGCGTCGCATCTGACCCCATCCCTCTGTGTGTGGGTGCTCTCAGAGGCGAGGCACACTTCTGTGCCCAAAGACTGAGACCATTGTGCCATCTGGCTATGGGGGTTCCCGTTCCCCACTGGGGCGCCTGGCCTCTGTTTGATCCTGCCACTCCCATTATCCCACTATTGCATCATTTCATAGGATTCTCCTTCCTCTACCAATATATGCAGACCTATTTATTTCAGGGTTGTTTTTTTTTTTTTAGTGTTTTTTGCCAACTCTGCATACGTCATTGTTTTAATCTTCTGTTAAAAGTTGGTCCTTCCCCCCTCCAATTCTTTCTTTCACTCTGCTCAGAATTCCCTTTTTATTAATGAGGTGCCCCCAACTAAATAGTGTCCAGCTGCCATTTCACCCGGGGTCTATGGACTGGAACAAACAGTTCCCTGTTTTATAATGTAATACTTCTATTTATGCAGTTGCTCTGGAATTGCTTTCTTACACCATTGCCTTCTGGGTTTCTCTCATGTAATGCGTATTAGGGTTTTTTTTCCCCCCCTGAAGTGTATGAGCAACTTTAGTCTAGATGATAGACTTCCTCTCTGTATTTCAAAATCCTTTGTATTGTCTTTGGCCTGGAGTCATGTTTTTGCTCCCCACCCTGCACCCACCTCCCTCTTTCTCATGCACTGTCGCTTCCTTTGTACTCTTTACTAATGACAAAAGAAACAACTTATTAGGTAATATTAATACTGACATTAACAGTATCTTGATGCTGTTTTGGAAACTCCTTTAAGAAAACTCATCGTAAAATATAGCCTCCCCCATCCCCCGAGGGGATTGGCTCTTAAGACTTCTTGAAAGAATGTCTTTAAGAAAAGGGACATTGTGGACATGGCGGAATTAAGACACTGAAGGTCATCAACTTCCAGCTTTATAAAGTATTCCCAGTTTTGTCCTTTGGAGCATAAGGATCAGGCCTTCATTCAGCGAGAAGAGCCATTTCTGTAGCAGAGGGACGTCTCAGAGCACCTGGGAGCCCGCCTGTTCTGACTCTCGGCTGCATGTAAATGCTTGTGCCGTCTCGCGTCTTTGATTCTGCTGTTCTGACATCTTCTAATGAAATGATAGTGTTCTTTCTCCTTCCCTTCTTTTCCGTTCTTCCTCTGTTGTTCACATACCAGAAAGTTTTACACAGAAATCATCGGAAAGCGCTTCCTTTCCTTTTCTGAGCTCAGGACCTTATACTGTGCTCTCATACTACCTCTTTATAGGTATCAGGACTTCCTTTGCTGAGGCTGGTGGGGTGAACTCTAGGATAGGTTCTTCCTGGTGATGACAAAAATGCCATCTTTTCAAATTTTACTTGTTAACATATGCCAACATGGTTTCCAATCAGTCACGTTCACTGTTTCGCCTGTCAACCTGCATGATTGGGGAAATATGAAGAAGGACAAATTGTGAACGTCTCCTCCGCCCTTCAGAACTCTGTGGGAGTGGCCAGGATTTACACCTGCTACTGGCCACGTGACCCCTTGAGAGGCCTCACAGACAGACACGGAGCATCTCGGGCCTGCCCCCCTCAAAAGGCCATGTCTTAGCTGCTGGCTATGTGCTAATAATT